AGAGAGAGAGAGAGAGAGAGAGAGAGAGAGAGAGAAGCACCTATATACTCATCCCCAACAGACACAACACATACTCACACATTAACTCACAGGCACACAAAACACTAACACAAACATGACAATGACGCTTACACCACACACTGACACAATCATCTTCGACAGATGTCACACACTAACACATATAGCACGCACGCACATGCAGCACAAACTTAAACACACGTGACACATTTTCAAGTTTAATTTGAACATCACTCTATAAATAATATACATCTATATTAAATGTATACTCCATGTCCCCGACTACTCATCCGACTCCCCATCCTGTCCCCCCACCCTACACCCCATTATCCCTTTCCCCTTTGTTTTCCCCCTCCCCCTCTCCCCAAACCTTCTCCCCAAACCCTCTTCCCAACCCCAACTCCCTTTCCCCCTCCCAACCCCTCCACCCATTCCCTACCTCCATTCCCTCCCCATTGCCTTCAGTTAGCAGTGCCGACGCCTCAGTTAATATGTCATTGGCCATGGTACTCCCAATGAGGTGCACACAAGGAGCACAATAGATTATTAAGTTAATTAAATATAAACAAATGTGTTTATTTTTATGGGTTTGCTCATTTGCATACGCCATATGTAATCACAGAAGGTTAATTCCAATTGACTACTTTTTGCAATTGCAATGTAATCTTAGCCCATGTATATAGAAGACAATAATATTATACACAATAATAGAATATAAGCATCTGGTCTGCTTTTTGATTTACAGGCCTTATTTCTGTACGTTTAGGTGTCGTCTTTTTTAATCACTAAAGGCAGGTAATTAGATTTTCTTGACAAGCCAGCAAGTTCGAGTGGCCGAGAGGAAAAAAAGTTTGAGAGTCTTCATGGGAAAGCAAAGTTTTGTAAACACGAAGGTCGTCTCTGCGAGATCAGCTCACTGTCCCTTTCGTTGTGGGGGTTTAGTGCTACCGGTTACTGGGCTGTCGGTGGAGAGGGGAGAGTGTTCACACCAAACTCCTAAAATCAAACAAAAAAGTAGCCTTCAAAGAATCATTTTCATCCCTATAAACTAAGAATTATGAAACGCAGGAATGCGCTTTTACTGGTGGACGTGCCTCATCACTCAGTTCTCTGGGCCTTGTACTGAAGGGGTTATAAATACCCGGATCAGAGAAAAATCTTTACAGAATGTTCTAAACTGGAATAAGCTGTGGGCGCGACCGCCCCGTCCGCAAACATATAATCTCCAGATGACGTCATCCCGAAGCCTCGATGTTTTCTGGGGAGGCCACTACCATTGACAATCCTCCCAAAGCATCTATTCTTATTCTTTCTGATTGTGGCACCTCACTCACAAATTCCTGAATCTTACACCCGTAAGTAAAGTTGTAACTGAGGACATATTCCTTGACGGAACAAGGGAACAATATCGTGTTCGATTGACTACCTAGGCATGAGGGCATCCGAGGAAACAAGCAGGTCGATCTCTCAGTGAAGGAATCCTTGTCCCTTCTGTTGAGATCAACGAAAAACACCCTCCAACAGACAGACTTTAAAAAAATAAGTTTAAAAAATTACACCTCCAGTTTGTGGGGAAAACACAGGTGTAGGGGGCTTTCGTGGCTTAGAGGTTAAGGCCTCTCATTCAAAGGTTCCGAGTTCGAATCAAGGTAGCGACGGAAAAATTTTCTTGTCTAAAATTGTCTCCTTTCACCTTCTTCCCTGCTCTCTAACAATGTTCTGTCGTCTGCTTTTGTCTCCATTGTTTGCCCCCCACACCCTCACCTCCTTTGCTCCCTCCATTGGGTTCCTGACTCTTTCTACTGCTTGGCTCCTTCTTACTGCTGTCTTTCAGCCACACCCCTGATCTTCTAGTAGGAAAGATCTTCACTATAGCCTTCTCGGACAAAGGGGAAACATTTCGGTCGTGTGTGCAAGTTGAGCACGTTAAAGATCCGTTGGTGGCCTAAAATCGATAAGAGTAGGTTTCAGCCGCCACCCAGGCTAAATCCAAAATGTCCTATCAACTGAAAATGTGTAATGCGTACCTGGCGCCCATATGACCTTATACAGTAGCGAGCGCCGTTAAAAAAAAACACCAAAAGAAAGATTAACAAAATAGCAAACTCAACACTGTTATACCCAGAATGGACTACAAAAAAGCCCTCCCCAGAAGAGACGAGGTTGTTTTTACTCGATTGCCTATTGGACATACCTCCCTGACCCATAAATACCCCTTGCAGAGAGATGAGAAACCCTTAAACGTCGGATGCGATACAGATTTTACAGTTAGACAGATACCTCACGCTTACAGAATATTGGGAATTTGGAAAGACCCAAAGGATAGTCTAAATGTAGACATTTAACAGATCTATTCTCCGTCGTTGGTCCTAAGAGAATCCTTGATTTTAATTAATGCCATTGGTTAACTACTGCTTTCACTATTTGATCCTTTTAAAAATTGAATTTTTCCCATGACATGTTTAACCTTACCTTGTAGTAAAATCAGGTCATGCTGTGAACTGCGTTTATGCAGTCAACTCGCGCGCTCATATAACCTTATGCAGTTGTGAGCACCGTAAAACTCTTACTATACTACTAAACTAACAGAATCCAAGCAATTTGTGAATAATAACAATAAAACGTACTAGTACCAGAAATACGATCAAAGCTAAAGATATCTTTTCTCTGGGTTAACTGCAATCACATAGCGTACTGTGAGTTCAGTTGGTATCATGCTGGACTACGGAATGGATGGCCCTCTTGGGGGACCTGAGCTTGCGATATTTTGGATATGTTTTTTAGTTCCACCTATTTGGCTCGGTCCTTTCTGAGATAGGCGTTAAATTGGAGGTTCCGCCTCTTAAATAACCTTATCGTGTTGAAAGGGGCGTTAAATATATACAATAATCACTTATTATGAACCAATTACTGGTAAACGGCAAATTTGTGTTTGTGGTATATTGATTCGGCTCTTCACTATTGCTCGAGGAAGACGCGAGAAGTTCTTGCACCGAGTGCCTCTACCTGCCTGCTGTGACATACCTTGTATTCCGCTCTGCCCGAGTTGGTCCTCACGGGCTGGGAGAAGCACCCCACACCACAGTGTGCATGTAGTACACCATTTAGATCATCTAGTCTGCGGGCTTCGACCATACCTGTCATGGCCAGTCTGGACTGAGAGAGACACAACAACTCGGAAAGCTCGAGATTCCCAAATAAAATTGTCCCCACACGAGAATCGAACGTTTATCTTCTATGTGCGACGGCGAAACTCCTAACAGCTACGTCACAGACGCCTGAGCCGAAACCCTAACTAATTTAATAATTAGTGCTAAAAGTAGGGTAAAACATTATTATCGTTACAATAGAACAAAATGAGACTGTGGTATTTGGCCCATCTCACCAAACAGCTGCAGCAGAAGGAGGCACGCTGTCAGGACCAACATGTCGTCTCCTGGGGGACTCCAGTCTCTTGTTTCAACTTGAGAGTCACGATCGAGCGTCGGACGCCGCCTGAACACTGACTGACCGGAGTTGACCGATCAATTTATCGCCCGTGTCCGGCATTGCCTCTGTCTTATCTGATTAAAACGAGATTCCGGACCACTGATAGAGCACAAATACGTTTGTGAGTGACATAAACTCTGACCTAGGAGCATGCAACTAAATGACAAGTCTTCTCGTTACAGTGAACGAAATCTTAAGATAATTGTACTTGTATTAAATTGGGGTCCACTTTGCTGAAAATATTGTATGGGCCACTCCAAGTGTATATTTTCCTGCCAGCACACGTGCCTCATTCGTTTAGTTTTGTGTCTTTCGGAAACATTTAATTTGTGTTTTATAACAGTCAGGCAAGTTTGCAAACGTGTCACAATAATTGCTAGGCTAACATAGGTCAGTACGATTTGTTACACACTGCACTTCGAGAAGATTAGGGCCGAATGGTTATTGGGCTGCTGGAGGGTGGAAGTACGTCACAGGCAGGTGTTACAAGACTTATCTTTCATTTTGTGGTTTCTGTCCAACTGTATTGTCTTTCCTTTTTTTTTCTTTTTTTTTGGAGAGGTTTAACGGCGGTCACAACTACATAAGATCAAATAACTCCATTCCAGTTACCATTGTTCCCGGACATTCAAACATATGGTTGACATCAGGCGAGTAGGGGTGCCTCTTTGCAGTGACTTTTGAGGATGATGATGATGATGATGATGATGATGATGATGATGATGATGATGATGATGATGATGATGATGATGTCAAGCTAGTTGGGTGAAGAGCTTTTCTTTCTTATGCTTCAAAAACTTGGAATTCCCCCTGAAAAGAAATCGCTACCTCAGAATTACAAAATCCTATCTGCTCAGTACCTAGTTTTGAGAAATTTCACATCAAAGATTTAGAGTTTCACATCATGTAAAGCTATTTCGAATGCGATTCTTTTGATATTTTGATAACGATTCCGAATAATCTTACGATTTTGATGGAGTAGGTAGCACATTTAGTTTCTGGCCTCAAGGTATTAGTCACTTTTAAGGGCCAAAAATGTCAGAAGGAACTTTGTAATCCTGCAGCAGCGAAATGCGTATCCATACCATCAGAGAGAGAGAGAGAGAGAGAGAGAGAGAGAGAGAGAGAGAGAGAGAGAGAGAGAGAGAGAGAGAGAGAGAGAGAGAGAGAGTTTAAGAAAAGTCTAAAGACACATTAAAATCCTCTGCTTGTAAAATAATATGTGAGACTATGTGCTAGTCTGCTTATTGTGTGTGTGTATGTCTGTCCGTGTGTGTGGTGTTGTTATTGTTATTGTTGTTGTTGTTGTTGCGGTTGTTAATGTTGAATTGTCCCATTGTGTGCCTTTCCTGTCCTTTGATTCGTCAATTAAGTTGAGTGCTAATTCTACATTGCACAACGCTTGGGGCCTTCTAGGAAATAGGCTCTATATGTTTTAAAAAACCATTATTATTATTATTATTATTATTATTATTATTATTATTATTATTATTATTATTATTATTATTATTATTATTACTATTATTATTATTATATTCTTTTTATTTTTATTATTATTATTATTTTTATCATCATCATCATCATCATCATCATCATCATCATCATCATCATCATCATCATCATCATCATCAGCAGCAGCAGCAGCAGCAGTAGTAGTAGTAGTAGTAGTAGTAGTAGTAGTAGTAGTAGTAGTAGTAGTAGTAGTAGTAGTAGTAGTAGTAGTAGTAGTAGTAGTAGTAGTAGTATGTATTATTATTGTTACTATTATTATTATAATTATTATTATTATCATTATTATTATTCTTTCAGGGTTTCCATTGTCCCTATATGTTCTTTGCAGATTGTAGCAATTCCATTGCTGTGCGCACTCCTATATGGGTGCTGCAGTCGCAAGCAGAAGACCCGATTTCGATTCACATGTCGGGAAACTTTTACAGCTGGACGTTGTATCCCTCTCAGTCTGAGTTGGTCCTGGCCGGCAGGGTCGTAAATTATCTAAATTGGGTCGATGGTGGTGTGAAAGTCACTTAAAATGAAGAAAAGATTACTGGGCGTTCATAAGACATACTCTAGTATTGGTCTCATACACCTTTTATTTTAGTAATAATATAATCTAAGAGGTGAGATCTCTGATTGAATAGTCCATCACCGACTAGAACGAGCAGAAAGACGAAGCGTCTTGAGAGCGACCCAAACAGGACCGAAGTTCAAGAATCCTGTATCGGGATTCCACTCAGGTTCATCCGCGCCATATTATGCTAGGAAGTTATCAACACAGCTAATGACGAACCTCCAATATTTTTCTGTGAGCCGGAAACAACAGCAACAGTAACAGCATTAGCAATAATAACAACAACAGTATTTACTTTATATATATGTATACATATATATTTTAATACTGATCCGTTCGTCGTTAATATAGAAACTGACATTTCTATTCAGCGCCCCTTTCTTCCCCTTCTCTCTCTCTCTCTCTCTCTCTCTCTCTCTCTCTCTCTCTCTCTCTCTCTCTCTCTCTCTCTCTCTCTCTCTCTCTCTCTCTCTCTCCCTCTCTCTCTCTCTCTCTCTCTCTCTCTTTCTCTCCCTCTCTCTCTCTCTCTCTCTCTCTCTCTCTCTCTCTCTCCCTCTCTCTCTCTCTCTCTCTCTCTCTCTCTCTCTCTCTCTCTCTCTCTCTTTCTCAAGTTACTTCACAAGGCCTGCTTCCTTAGCCATACAGTAAAACATTGACCTTGAGTCTTTCAGTAGCTCAGCGGGCGGGGCAAACTCGGCGATCTCTCCTTGATGAAGGACGAGAATCCTGGAGGGGAGAAAAGTAAATAGAGTTGTAGTGAAACAAAACAGACCCAATAACACAACAGACATGTTGATTTTGTTTCCTTTCTCAGTACTGTTGGTTAAAATAATGGTGCCCTTCAGCAAAAAGCATTGTTGTTTCAAGTGAGGGTGTTTTCTTTTCTAATGCTGCTAGGTTTTATTTGGTTCCATCGACAACAAGGTTTGTTCGTGTTTTATTTTTGCTTTTGGTACATCTTTTAGGGCGCTCGCTACTGTATAGCTTACATGAGCGCGCAGGACACACATTAAGCATTTTTCAGTTTGGTAGGAATTAGTTTTTAAATTTTGCGCGGGTGGCAGCCGACACCTAACACTCTTATCGATTTTAGGAATACCAAAGAAACAAACTTTGACGTGCCCAACATTTTCAAGTCTTGCAAAGTCCAACAAAGGTCAGTTATCACTTTTGGCTGAATACATCTGTCTTTTTAAAACCCTCTAATTAGTTATAAATATTCTTAACATCCTCTCCACTGACCTGCCCTATCAATGCCGTGTGTAAAAGCTGAATTTAACACGGCATTGGAAGGTTAGGTCAGAGGAGAAAGTGTTAGGAAAATCTATTTATAGATCTCTCCCGCCTCCGTGAACACAATATTGTTATACAAATATGTATAATAATATTGATAATTTAGCGGGCCGAATGCTCCAACCCTGCCAGTCGGGGTCAACCAGAGCTGAAAGACCGTAACACTCGATAACAGTCCTCGTCTTCGCTCGGGAATTGAACTCGCGTCTTTTGTATACGACAGGGTGGTGTTCTTTAGCAAAATGTGTCAACACCTTTTTTTTAAAACCGTGATGCAACAATAAGGCGATCAGTAACAGTGCTTGTGCATTTGAGTAAATAAAGCCTGTGTCGTGTTATGTTGTATATTGTGAATTGTCATGCATAAACAGCTATAAATATTGAAATATATTTCCACTCCCTGCCCCCCACCCCCACCACACTCACACAAAACAGCCACACACAGAGACACAAACCGTCCCTCCCTTTATTCTCCCTCTGTCACCGCCTCCCTCAGTACCTACGTTCCACTGCACCATTCTCTCCTAGACTCCCACACCATGTCTTCTTTCCTTCTTAGACCATCTCTCAGACCTCAATTTCCTCCCTCTCAAATCCTCTCTTATTCACTGTCTTTCACCTCCTCCCTCTTTATCTCTCTTCACTCTACCGCTCCCCCTATCTTCCTCTTTCACCTACCACGCCTTCCACCCTCTCTTTCCCCTCCTTCACCATCTTCTATTACTTGGAAAATATCCCCTCCCCCTTAAAAATACAACAGTAAAATACTCCAACAGAAAAAACAACCACCAACCAACCTCCCCCTAGTATGTATTATTATTGTTACTATTATTATTATAATTATTATTATTATCATTATTATTATTCTTTCAGGGTTTCCATTGTCCCTATATGTTCTTTGCAGATTGTAGCAATTCCATTGCTGTGCGCACTCCTATATGGGTGCTGCAGTCGCAAGCAGAAGACCCGATTTCGATTCACATGTCGGGAAACTTTTACAGCTGGACGTTGTATCCCTCTCAGTCTGAGTTGGTCCTGGCCGGCAGGGTCGTAAATTATCTAAATTGGGTCGATGGTGGTGTGAAAGTCACTTAAAATGAAGAAAAGATTACTGGGCGTTCATAAGACATACTCTAGTATTGGTCTCATACACCTTTTATTTTAGTAATAATATAATCTAAGAGGTGAGATCTCTGATTGAATAGTCCATCACCGACTAGAACGAGCAGAAAGACGAAGCGTCTTGAGAGCGACCCAAACAAGACCGAAGTTCAAGAATCCTGTATCGGGATTCCACTCAGGTTCATCCGCGCCATATTATGCTAGGAAGTTATCAACACAGCTAATGACGAACCTCCAATATTTTTCTGTGAGCCGGAAACAACAGCAACAGTAACAGCATTAGCAATAATAACAACAACAGTATTTACTTTATATATATGTATACATATATATTTTAATACTGATCCGTTCGTCGTTAATATAGAAACTGACATTTCTATTCAGCGCCCCTTTCTTCCCCTTCTCTCTCTCTCTCTC